TGTAAACAATTAAAATGCACTTACCAACAAAGTTAACTGCACACACATATATATATATATATATATTTATATACATATTTTCATGTATATAGATCTGAAAATAATTTTGTTGAACTATCAAAATAATTACACAGAAATTTTAAATATGATGGATAATGCTGCAAAAAATTTTGACATTCCAACAACCAGCTTGAGCGTGTATAATTATTTTTATGGTTCAACACACACGCACGCACGCACGCACACAATTATTTTCAGATCTCTATTTGAATAAATTTTAAGATATTTCTAATGAAATCTTTTCATGAGTAATTGTTAGTATGTTTGTGTTAATACTAACATCAATGTAATATGGATTTGGTTCTAGAATATTATTTTTAAGTGACAATTAATTACGTAAATTTTACGAACACATATATGATATAATACAAGTTTCACATTTTTAATAATCAAATTTTTATATAATCTAGACTTTCATAAATGCAAATAACCTAATTAAAGAAAAAGAAAGAATAAGCACTATCAAATTTAATCTTGAAATGATGTGGAGTGTGTAGTTTAATTGTGTGTGTCTCTTTGTAACACTTAAATAAAATGTATAATAATACAAACTAATAATACAAAGTTGCTTCAAAATTAATGTTGCTATTCACGCTCTCTGTTATAATAGTGACAACCAAGGAGTTTAAACTGATATATAATGAACAGAATTTTTAAAAGTTTGTCATTGCTTGTCCTATCTTTTAGCATGACAGTGGGTTCCTTAATAATGACCACTGAAGGCATAACTTAGCACTCAACACTTACTTATATGTAACATTCACGTATCAGTCTAGGCAATCTAGAATTAAAATCTTATGTTGTTCAATCCACATCATATTAATATTTATATCAACACCAACACTGTTATTTAAACACAATTGTATAAAATATATAACATAATTATATACAAACGCACTTTATGGAGTTAAATCCACATCTATATTTTTTAGAATGTAAAAGTAGTACTCAACACACCGCTGTTGGTTGATTATGCGTCGCGACGAGGGATGTTCGGAATTCGCAGAAGGGTGGACGGTTCGTGAATAATATAGATCGTTGGCGATGGTGCGGCGTTGTTAGGTTTTACTGCTCTCGAGAGGAGCTATCGGACCAGCGATTTATGGGGCGGAAGATCGCGGCTTGCGGAGTCGTGGCAGATTAGTCAGATTGTTTGGAAATTTTCATTGTTTTCTTGCCAACTGGGAAGAGAAGAAGAAAGAGAGGAGGAGGATACCACCATACCGTCACCGGGTACCTTGGCGTGAGCATTCGATCGTTTCCTGCCCACGTACCGGCTTGCTCGGGAAGTCACTCTATTTACGGGCCGTCTTAAGTCGCACGCGAAGCACATGCAAATGCCGCGCGATAAAAGAACAAACGACGCTGCCTTTTCTTCGGTGGCGAACTCGGAGAACCACGGTGGCGCCGTCAACGTCGTCCCTCGTTGTTCCATTGATTTATATTCCTTACCTAGGCCACGTAACTGCGATCGAGAGAATCTTTTTCGTTAGTGGGTTTTCGCGGTTCACATTATTGAGCTTTAAAACCGAGTCAATTCGAGTTCTCACTCTAATTATCTCTCTTGATTTTACTTTATACAATTTTGTTTAAATTGCAGTAAATTACATTAAAGCTGATTTCGAATTAAGTAAACGAGTAACTTAATCAATCGAACGTTGTGATAAAACATTCAAATTACTGCGATATGATTATTTTATTGTGTTTGTGAAATGTGCAGTGTCAAGATTTCAATAGTAAGTTGACTAAGAAATATTCGACACAAATAAGCGAAAGTCATATTTGGTCAAAGAAGATCTATAATATATTTTTGCGTGAATTTTACAATTTTCCAGCAAATCGCGTTCAAGCGAACTGCTGATTATTTGTCGATAGGACACAATCTTACAAAAGACCTGTTACAACTGTCTAGAACCGATTCGATTCTTGTTGAAATATGTTGTTAAACACACAATTCTAAGAGACTTTTTAGATTGATCCTATTTGAGATTTAAAGAGTTAAACGACTCTTCAGAATTTAATGAGAATGTTTTTAAAATATTCGATTTTTGAAAATTCAGCCCATAAATCTAAAATCCGATATCGAACCGATATAAAAAATTTAATACATATTAATACATATTAAAAATTATTATACATATTTCTTAGATTTTTGTGTTTAACATGTTTCAAGGAGAATCGAATTGATTCTAAATACTTATGATAGGCCCTTTGTTAATCTGAAGCTGCAATACATAATCAAAAATTAAATTAATAAACAATTTAATAATACTAATAAACATTTTTAAAAAATTGAAAAGAATTTAGTGTGAGAAATATCAAATGAATTAAAAACATCGTACGAAGACATGAGGAGTGGAATACGTTTTATTTTGTTTTATAGTATGACAAATGTTATGCTCACTTTATTATATTAGCGCTATTTTAATGCGTTCAAATACAAGAGAGCTTGAAAGTCCGCATCATGATTAAATGGCATATTTCTCTCTTTCCTCCCCCTTCTTTCTCTTTCTGTTGTACTTCCTCGATGAACGGCCACGACAGTCGTATCTCGATATGTGACACGGTCGAGAGAACGGTAATGCGGAACAGCAGCTGCATACAAATGGGGAATTTCGAGGGCAGGAATGCGTTACGGCTTAAAACGGCTTTCCATTCCATTAGATGAATCGCGCGGATAATTAATGTAGTTACGGTCACCCATGATATTCAATCCGCGGAAACCATAAAGCCGCGGCCGTTTAATGTTGTTCAAGGATACTGAGTGCGTGTGCATCGGAGCAATAGCCACATCCATATAGTCACATACATATAGGTAGCCTCAGCTATTGTGTCCTCCATCGGCCTTCCATATACCGCATACATTTCTTTTGTAAAATTATATATGTACAAAGTTGATGTATCATGCCAATTTGCTGCAGGAAACGGTTTCTCAAAAGTAAAGAACGACGTAGGGAATGACTGAATTCAAAGGGATAGAAGGAAATTTAATCCTTTAGATAATAAACAAATTAGACTCATGTTAATTAAAAAAAGAAGGTGACAATCAGATACTAAAGTTATCAGTGCGGTATAAACAATGTGTAAATTATTCATATTTAATTCTGTAAGTATTTATTTTGACAGGACATGCAAAAGATCTCGCACTAATCATATGGGAAAAATAGCTTCAGTCAAATTGGCTGAAACTGATATTTTGTAAATTATGATCAAAAGTCTCCATAAGCAAACCATAAAAATTGGACAGATTTGAAAGTTTTTATTTTGAGTTTAATCGATTTGAAAAGTGTCTTTGTCACTAAATAATTCAATTGCATTTTAATACTTTTGGGCACAGAGTATGATGAATCAATTGATGTAAAGAAAATATATATAGTAGTTGTTTTTAGAAAAAATATACAGTTGCATATTGCAAATTGCAGAATTTTTGAAAAGCAGCTATGTTTTTTTTACAATTGATTCATCTCATTATTTTTGTGCAACATTAAAGTAAAGTATCTCAAAATGAATAGTTTAGCAGATAAAAGTACTTTTTAGTTTAATTAGACCCAAAATGGTAATTTCCAAAAGGTGCCAAATTATCCATTTTTAATGGTTGTACTTATGGAGACTTCTGATCAGTATCTAATAATCTATAAAATATCACAGTTTCAATCAGTTGGAATAAATCCATTATATGATTAGTGCGGGGTCTTTTTGCATATTAAATTATTGAGAAGTTAAGTATTAATCAATGAGAAATTATTTTTTGACAAACATAATTTTAGATCTTAAATCCAAATCTCGTATCAGATTAGACGACGATCGGGTGGTAAGCGTCGTTTCTGCGCCACCATTACATGACTATTCTCCCGCATTGAGAGATATATCTCGTAGGGCAAAGTTCTGCCGGAACATCAAAAATTGGCGTGTTCCCTCGGGGTGGGAGCTAAATCATTTAAATTTCTGCGCAAACGACCGCGCGCACATGCGGGCAGAACTCACACTCCACTCTTCTGGTGGAAAATTTAAAAAATGATGAAGGGTTGAGGGGAGGAGAGAACGAGAGAAGAGCAAAAAAAACGTGAGGAAAGGGTATTATCCAGCTAGCGAATGGCCCGAAAGTTTCGCGTCGAGGGTGATCTCACTCGGAACTATCCTCAAACTATCATCAAACTATCGTTGCTACTGACCTTGTTTTCGAGCTGCGCCGACTGTACGACGTGCCGAAAATCTTGCGGAAGTTCACCGTCTTCTGAATGTGTGCGTTCGACAAAGGAATCTCTATTTTAATAGTTCTGTTTGCTTTAGATGTTACTATGCCGAAATGATGGTACTTCGTTTCATCGATTTGCTTTATTGAGCGAAAATGTCACGATTTCAGCATTAGAATTGAAAATTTTATCGAAAATTATTGTGAAAAATAGAATATAATTAAATTTTATAATATTAAAATCCCACCACCAAAAAAAAATTGTATATCTAATATAAAATATTAATTACACATTTCTGAATTGTATTCGAATAATTTTTAATTTTATTGACGCTACATATTTGAATTTCTAATAAAAGTGAGATTTTAATATTTTTCAAATATTTATAGAAATATACACATATATAGCATTTGTGGTTTTTGTTTTTATATTATGCTTTAGATTATTACAATGATATCAGTGAGTTTATGAAATTTAAAATCCTCGCTAGCTAAGCCGGGAAATGTTTGCACGCGATATCGAGAATGTCCTCGAAGAGGATTTACATTTTTATTTCCCGATATACTACAAGCTCGTTTTTGTTGATGGGGATTACCGCCGATCAACGATAGCACGTGTAGTGAAAATTAACAAAAAATTGCGCGCCGACAACGCTTTCGGGGATTCCACGTCTTCTCTTTTTTTTAGCTTTGATATCATGCATTTACGATTATACATGAATATTTTGTAAATATTTAATTGGCTTATCTTTTAAAAGCTACTTTAATAGAATTTAAAAAACACCTCGATCTTATGTTATTTTTAAATAAATAAGTAACAAATAATATATGGCACAAACAATGTATAAGTCCGATAAATAACTGGTAAAATATAATTTTGCAAAACATTTTTGCGCACATTTAATAAAATCACTTAAAGTGAACTTATGCCATTTTTAAATTAAATCACCCAATTTGATCGTATTTAGATCAACTGTGTTCATCGTATCTGCCAGGATTTATTTTACTGTTTACGAAGATTGATCTAGCGTATGTGTGTTATATCTCGCAAATAGTATCCTACGTGATGTTCTAGCTCATAGAGAGAAGAGAGAGACTGGTGAATCGGGAACGTCATTTGTAGAATATTGGAGTACAATCTGGTCGATTGCATTCTTCGAAACATTCGATACTCAATGGCAGAGGGACCAGAAATACGAAAGCGAGAGAGAGAATCGAAGACCAATGGAGATCTTGGAAGAAGATAATATACCGTGGCACGAAATAGACTTTGAATCTGTTCGTGTTTTTAAATCATTCAATATCACATTTATTGCCAGAAATATTTTTTTAGACGATAACTAGTGTGAGAGAATGTGAAACGAGAAAAATACAAAAATATTAATTTAATTTGTGCTATACAAATGTTGTATCAGTTTTATTCTTTTCTAATAATATAATGAAGAAATTCTTTTATCTCGATTGCCATTAATTAAACATTGCTATTTTTTTTAAATAAATTTCTCATATCTCTACAGAAAGAACGATTTTGCCGAAGTATCTAAAAAATTAATTGAATACACAATTAACAGATATGAAAATAATTTTGTTGAATCGTCAAAATAATTACGTAGAACGCGTAAGTGTTAATAATAATGCTACAAAAGTTTATAGCAATTACATTTGGCCGTTCTATATAATTATTTTGATGGTCTAAAACAAAATTATTTTCAGTTCTTTCTGTACATTGAAAAAAAGTTTATTAAATACATATTTAATAAATACATATTTAATAAATACATATTTTTTTTACTTACAGTAAACAAATATTTATTATCTTTTTACAGTATACGTTTTCAAAGAGAGAGAAAGGGAGAGAAAAAGAGATTTCAATTTATAAATAATTTTCATTTGCATTTAGGGTCACTTTGATCAATTCCGATTAACTTTGATCGACGATTAGTCTATTGGAATTGATCAATCGCATTTGTCGCTTAAGGCGCCTTCGGACGATATGACCAACGTATGCCAACATTAGCAAATATCATGCATGTGATAGCTATATCGTCTGAAAGCTCCTTTAACGACAGATGCAATTGCAATGAGCTAACTATCGATTAAAATTAATTGGAGTTGATCGAAGTGATTCTTGGTAATTTTACAAAACTCTTGCTTTTGCGATTTTTTGTATAAGATATATGATATTTTCAAAAGAAAGTAATGCACATTTGACACATGTTACTGTAAACAAATAGATGAATTAAAAGTTCTCTATTGAGATAAAACGTAATTCTGTGCGTATATAGAAAATATCCGAGCACTATTGTATTGATACGCTATTCAATGTTTTTCAGCGCTCTATCTGATTCCAACAAGATCTTATTTCCAATGGAGAATACCGACAGACAAATCCGTGTATCGAGAATTTTAGAGAAAATGACGTATCTTCAGATTCAGTTTCGAGCAAGCTCCTGTTTCGTTGAAGTATCCTGTATCAGCAGAAGGATGCGGTGAATGCATTCCGGGATCGATTTTATCGAGGATATGTATACGCGCTTAATTGTTGTTGACAGAAGTTACTTTAATTATGCAACGGTGATTGAATTTTACATTACGCCACGGATTAATTCACGATTCTTGATACATCTCTGAAATATAGATTAGTGTTTAAACTGTCTGTGGGATATAAATTAAATCGATCAATAGGTATGAGAGAGAACTATTTAAAAAAATAATTTCTAGAAATAACGTTGAAATATAAATCTCTACATTTTCGGAGATTCTAATTTGAGTCCTTATTTTAATAATTTTGTAATTATACAGCTGTCTGCGAATTTAATTCAAATTCTGAACATTCGTACAAGTTTCATAAGTAGCAAAGACCGCGTTATAATCAGAGAATACGAAATAGAAACGGGCGTAATCAGGCAACTTGGGAATAAGTAGAAATGATCACGCTATGGTCAGACCGAATGGAACATAAAATTGATATTGATAATAAACTTGCCTGTATTCTTACATATTATTTAGGTTTCATTTAACATTTGCAATGCTCACGAGTATTATTTCATCCTTCTTGTCATCACATATTAAACAAGGACGAAATGATACATGCAAACATTATACGAACGTTAAGTGGAGCGCACTCTTAATATACAGCCTTGACTAAAAATATAAAACATCATAATTGACATAAACGTTCTATATTTTACGAAAAGTCTCATTTTTTCTTTAATGAATTCTAAATAAGGATATCACACTATTAACAGTTTTTTATTGGAAAATGATGAATTCGCGTTTCGTTTACAGCAACGTGATTTCCATTCAATTTAATGAATCTCAAGTCAGTAAGTTTAATTATTAAAATTATAAATTTACTATGTTTCAATATTTCGAAATAGTCAATATTATCCTGGAATTAAAAAATGGAAGAAATAATCTCTCTCTTTCTCACTTCTTCTCACGAGTATAGATTTAGGATGCTTCTTTTATTCTAATCGGTTTCACCTCAAGTCTATGGACGACATTATGGTTTTCTCATTACTGTGTATATACGACATAATCCTTTTCATCGTTAACCGATCCGATTCGGTTATGTCCGACGTGGCTGCCGTCAGTGCGATACGAAAAAAACTATTCGTCGAACTTCTCGGTAGTCTCGCTTTCCTTTTACCTACTCCGGGAGGAGATAGCTTCTAGTGGCTGACAGCTTGCACGAGGGAGCTTGCAGAGAAAGATGATATAGCATCGCGGCAATAGCGGCAGTGGAATGAACTCGCACCTCGTTTGTACCAGCGCAAGAACGCGGTCTGGATACATTGCCCGGCACGTTTTGCCAGCCGACTGATCGGCCAGCCAGCCAGGCAGCTCTGGTAAGATGAATTACATCGGGACGTGATGGTGCCGTCTGCTTACGGTCGCGCTACCGATCGGAATCGCGGAAACTTGTGTACGGATCCCGACACGTCTGCAGCTCCGCCTTGCTCTTTCTCCCATGTCTCCCCCTTTCGTTCGTCTTATCGAAGCTTGCGTGCTCTCGAGCTTTTCCTGTCCCGGTGCTGGAATTGGAGTGAAGAAAGTGCAAGGGGAGGACGGGGGTGAAGATTGATTGCATCGAGTCCCGCGTACAGTCGGTGAAAGAAATCGACGGACGCGGTGCGAATTTCCGTGCGTTTTAAAGAATCTCGCTTGCATCGTGAGAAACGACAAAGGGAAAAGATGTTCCCGATCTCGAATACGCGGATCAACGCTTCGTTCAGGTCGATGGCGGAATATCACTTGTTCTGTTCTTGGTATCAAGCAAGAGAAGAGTACTCCGATAATTGAGGAGGAGGAGGCGAAAGAATTGAACCGTGATAATCTTCCGCGACTGTTACATCAACATCTTTTTCACTTTATTCTTTAACTGTCGATTTATATTTTTGCCATATTCATTGAAAAAATGTCTGGTAATAATAATCAAGCCTACACAGAAAGTACGATTTTGTTGAAGTATTTAGTCAAATAAAATACAGATCTGATAGGGAAGGCTTAGAAGTGATTATCAATGAAATTTGGCTAGGATTATAGATGATCAATCGTTTTTAAGATATTTTAATATTAAATTTATTAGCGGCAGTTTTTATTAGAGTTTATACTCGAGTTCATAGTATTTAAATATTTTTTATTTATTTTTAACAAAATTTTCATCTTAAAGTTTATAAAGTTTATAAAAGTAATAAAAATAATAAAAATAATTAATTTCTTATATATATTAACAATTATTCCTATCATAAAATATTATTACAGAAAAATATTAATTGTTAATAAAGTTTGAACTTGAGTCTCTAAAAGGCTGTTACTATATCCGCTATAAATGCTCAAGTATACATGTTCTAATAAGTTCTAATAAACTGCTAAATTTAATATTGAAATATCTCCGAAATGGTCGACTGTCTACGCCTAAATAGGAGTATAATGATGTTTAGGGAAACACATTCTATAATCCTGCTAAAGTTTCATTGAAATTGGTGAGGACCCTTTCTAAGCCTTCTCTCTATGAAAATAATTATGTTTAATTAGTTGACCCATCGAAATAATTAAGAGTCTTAAGCATGATAAGCAATCGTACAAAAAGGTTTGATATTCTAACAACTAATTTGAGCGCTCTACATAATTATTTTGATGGTCCAACAAAATTATTCTCATATCTAGCTAAATCTTTTCATATCAATAAAATCTTTTTGTGTTAATGATAGTTAAAATTTTGATGAAATAAAATCAAATGTTGATTAAAATCAAGTGTTCGATTAATATAACCAAAATTAAACGCTAATATTGCTTTTCTAAATATTTTGTTTTACTTTTTAATAATTGTCATGTTTGGTAATATTTACTAAATATTGTACTAATACGCTAAACAAAATATAATATATTTGATAGCTATTATCAGACGTTTTTGCAGTCTTTTTTAAAAAAAATATCTACACACAAAATAAATATATGTACAAGTATATTTTAATTCTATGCATCTTTACATCTGACTATGCTTGATTAAATTTTTAATAATAATTATTAAATTATTATAATATTAAATAATTAAAGTTAATTAGTAGAACTTAACTGGAATTTTTCAATAAGTAGATTAGATTAATAACAACTGTTGTTATTATGTTTTGAAAGAGTCCTTTGAATTTGTTTATTTATTTTAGATTAGATTAAGGGACGCACCTCGACTGTCACACCTGGTCGGGGAAATGTTTGAGTCCTCTGGCTGCTATCCGGCACATATCGGAAGAATTCATGATCATCTTTGTACCATTTAACCGAGTAGAGATTGCTTCCACTCATTATTCGCCACTCGCATCTGAGCTCGATCGAAGAACCCACCTCGGCCTCTTTTGGCATCTTGAACTCCACCTTGATATCGCTGCTTGCTGAAACACAAATATATTCATTCATACATCCGCTGTATAAGAAATGACATAGAAAGAATGATTTTGCTGTAGCATCTAAAAATATAACTATATACAGATTATTTTTGTACAAATTAGAAAATATTGTTTCCTTTTTTGATTTCATTAAACTTTTATTACATATACATTTATAAAAATGCTGATTAGCTCGAATCTTGAATGAGAAAAAAAATTTTAACTAATTTAATCGCAGAAAAAAAGAATTTTGAAAAAATATATTTTTATGAAGGAATGAGTTTTAAAGAACTTTTTTTTTGAAATTAAAAAAATTAAATTTCACCATTTATGATTTCATATAAGAGTATGAATACTCATACATTATTTTATTTAGGTTACATTTTGTGCCAAATGACTTCAATGTCATTTAATCGATGCCATAGAAAATAAATCAACACTTTTTACACTTCCAGTTAATTTCTTTTTCATATTGCTTTACATATTATTTATTATAAAAGATAGCATAATAAAAAACTTTATTCAGAAAAAGATGTGAAAATAGTCATATGATTTTCTTCCTCTTTTTAAACCGAAAAACTTTTTTCATTCAGTATCATAAATTTCATTAAATGATGTATACATATATTACGTTACAAATTTTACACATGTTGATAGTATAGTTATAGTCCACTTGATGCTTCGAAATATTCTTTCATTTTTTATTTAGTAAAATTCTATCTTCTGATTAATTAATGAGATACATCGAAATATTTATAAGTCATTCAAGTGGATTATATTCAAATTCTTTATAAGACAAATCAGCCATAACTAATTTTTATGCACTTTTTGTTTCCAAAACTCTTTTTTTTCACGATTAACGATTTCCGTGACAATAACGTCATACACTTTCTACTATGCACATTACGTAAATGAGAACGACGAGCTTTCACGAATCGTGTTCCTCAGCTCGTTATAATTCTTGATCACGAATAGGGCTGCTGATCTCGCGTGGCGCGTAGCATATGCCACTTTCGGGATTCCATTTCGTTAATCCACGGACGCGCACAGAGTGGACGACGTTTGGAATCCGTAGTCGCTTCGCAATTACCATCCGCGTTTGTCAGCCGAGGACAGGCATGGACGGTAAAAGGGTGACCGTGTGTTAAGCGCGAGAATAAATACGCGGTTAGCGGAAGGGTCAAGCGTGATCGAGGTGAATGCCGTTGCGAGTTTCGTACGCGATTCGGAAGTTCCCTTCGAAATTCGAAACGAATGTACTTCGTGCATACATAGACAATAAAACTTACACAGAGTTATTGTGATATTATAGAATGACGTTTTTCAATCGGATTGAAACTTTCGAGTTTAATCGAACAGTGAGAAGAGTGCATTGCATAATTATTAGTAATACTTCCAGTAAAAAGGAATTAACGAATAATTAATGTAATTACTTAACGTGGAAGAGAGAGGAGAAACGCGAATTATGTAACATGTTCAAAATTTACAGGATATTTACTTCCCCAGGATGTAATTATCTCGTCTAGTGTAATAATTAATTTTTAAATTGTGTTATTTGAGATAACGCTGTATATTTGTACAAATAATCATATTATTCTTTTTATTTTATTTATATTGTAATAATTTTGTAATGCCATCGTTGCCAGTAGATAATCATTATTGGCAGTTCTAAATTTATTCAAAATTAGTCAATGAGTGCCAACATAGGTTATTCGTGTATAAAAATATATCAAAAGAACAAGTTATAATACAAATGTTTCAACCCTTACTTTGGATCGTCTTCATATTGACGGATTAATAAATATTTCATTTACAAGAAAGTCAGATTGTTAAGATGAATATCAAATCAGGGAACATCATGAAACTTTAGTCTAAGAATAAAAAGTCAACAGTTGAAGTCTTCAGTATTTGATAGAATATTTGAATTGTGAGTCCAAAGTTAAAATTGATGATAGAAAAGCGATGAAATGTCGGATAAGCACAGAATAAAATTAGTATAATGTGACGTGATATATCCTATACGAACGCAGAATAAAATAAGTGTAATATGTATATCAGAATGTAATGTATGTGAGTTTATGAGGTTATCAGATCTAACAATAAGTTGTTTGTGAATTATAATGAATTGTGTTAAAGAACTGCGGCGAATTCATTCAATCGTACGAAAATGTCAATCGCGTGGAGAGAAAATTTACTCCATACTGGACTGCCAACGATCGCGTGTACATTAATTCTGACGGATGGCTCATAATAACAAAGATCGAGTTAATTTGGAGAATCGAGCGGAGTCGTCGGCCACCCATGGGAGAGCAAGGCGCAACGATCACGAAGCGTGTTGGGTTTAAGTGCGGTGGCCGTTGTCGTTAAAGGTCCATCGAGCGGAATACCTAGAGACCTCGCTTGCTCTTCGCATTCGCTCTTCCGGCCGGTAGCCGCAATTTAGAGTCGCGCGTGTTAAGATTTAATGACGCGCGAATTTCAGTTTGAGGATTAAGATCTCAAAGAGCCGGGGTTGCTCTCGTAAACCTCTTGTGTTCCATACCATATCTGCGAGATTCCGATATGGCGAATAGAAAATAGAGCTTAATATGTAGTGTCAAATAGAAAAGTCATGGAATTTTTTAGTACCATTTTAAGCGACTGCTTTTACAGAAATTTAACTCTTTGGAGTTGATGGTGCACTATTAAATTTATGTCAAATTATGCCTAACTTGAGTTATTTTTAATCACTTTTATAGACCACCACTGTCCCTATTCAATATCATTAATTTAACTGATATGATGAAGTTAAACAATTTAACTAAAAAATAATGTATTAAATTTGACTCTTTAGTTTATTATTTATTAAGTGTATACATTAATATGGACCTTACTTACTTTGAAACTAACAGAAATGTCTGATTTACGTTTTATTATACATATGGAAGTTAAAAGTTGAAAATATTATTTTCAAAATTTTGTTCTTTTTTTTATTTCTAATTTAAGAGATTGGGTTATCATTGATATCCTTTGATAAACAGTACAGATCTATTGAACTACACAATTATATTCTTTATATTTGCAAATTTTAATTGTTATTAACTTAAAATTAATTTTTTTTTACGAGTTACGTTATTTTGGTTCTTAAAAGTTAATTACACTCAAATATGAAATGTTTAATTTTATAATATTAAAATATTTTATTCTTGTCTCCGTTTTTTAACCATTTAAAGATGTTTTAATTTTAAACTTTTTCAATATAAATAAAACACTACGTGTTTTCAATGTAAACATTTTAAACACTGCACTTTTTACATTGTAGTGCCTATTAACAAACATTAAATGAGTTTCGCGGATTCAATGTCAGTAATTGTATTACAAATTTTGATGTCAACTCCGATAGGTTAATATTAGAAGATAAATAGTTAATATTAGATAGTGATTAATTACTCATTTTGAATTTTAAAGCATTGTTGCTCATTGTGCTTTTAATACTCAAAATAGATAATTAATCTATCACTATCTTTCAGTATTAAATTGAATTTTTGTAAAAAGATTTCTGAAATATTCCTTGCAATTAATTAATTATTGAATTATGCCTGTCGAAGAAGCTTTGAACGTTGTGGATTAATATATCGTATAAGAACCACGGAGTGTTAATCGGGGAAAGTTCATCTTCAGATCGATATAGTTGACATGTACATATATATAGATTCGCAATATTCGGAATAGTATACTGACATTCGACGGGACTGACCTAACCCGTCGATGTCAGTCACAGCTGTTTCCGGTGGCGCGGTTTGCGTTTCGCGACGCGTTTTCGAACGCGTCTCCTCTCGATATCTCTCATCCGCGCGTCGTCAATTTCCGTCGTTACAACGACCGAGTCGTTAACTTGCCAATGGAGTTTGACGTCTCATAGCTGAGACTGCATCGTGAACATTTCCGTGCCATTTATCAACGGCACCTGGCGTATTGAAAACTGCTTTACTGCGACGAAGACGGGCCGGCGAGAAGGCGCCGAAAGTATACGGCGCCATCGATTTTAGCTACTTTTTAATCAAGAAGAATTTTAATTACACACAATACACGTGAGACTGTTTCGTTATTGAAACAAAAATTTCGATGATATAATCTGA